AAAAACGGAATATTGTTCATGAAAACGGTCATGTTTGCAAATTGGTCATTCTCAGCACTTTCATTGAGTTGAACTCCTTGAAGTCTTTGTGACTTTAGACAAATTGAATCGTGGTGTTGCTCTTGTGGTCAAAATAGTTTCTTATGAAAAAAAAGACTGGTTATCTTGCAAAACTTTACAAATCAACCTCTCTCAATCTCAAAATTTTTGAAAACAATCACTATTTTACGAGATGCAAGATTTTGCAAGATAACTCTTTTTGATCGCCTAGGGTAAGCTTTTTGACGGAAGTTTTTGTCTCATCTGAAAGCTATTGTTGTCTTAAGCTCAAACTCAAATGCAAAAAAAAACAACCAATCTGTGATGTTTTTTCAAAAATTATGTGGACTTAAAATTTACTCATTTCTCATTATGCTCATTTTGGGATAATTGAAGCTCGATAAATTTCGTGATACTAACGCGCAATCGGAGATTTGATCCGACTCAGAAACCTTTCAGATTGAACTGGGGCATGCTATTTTGTCTACATTAAACTTTGTTGCATGCTAAATATACTTTTACATAGCTTTACACTAAGTATGGGGAGACGGTTTTTGGGAACAAAAATTCATTTATATTTTATGATTTTTTCTTTTTTTTAAATAAAATGTTCATCAGTTTTTTTTTTTGAAAAAGCGAACATTATTCCATAGACCATGAGAGGCAGTCACAACATTCAAGGATTTTCCTTAAAATCCGAGAAGTCTTGTTTGGCTTAGCAGATAGAAGCGGACAATTTTCTGAATATATATTTTTTCCAGCCCCTCAGAGCTATTTGTGCACCCTCCCCCAAACAACCCGCCTTCAGCCACAGCCCAAAACCAAAAGGAGTATTCATGACCCAAATTGAAGACACTCTTGCCCCAGTTATTCAGCCAGTTACGAGACCCAAAGTGAGGGCCAATCAGGTTCCGAGTTACCCCAAGAGTCCGGAACCTCCGACTATGAAGTTCGAACATGAATGGTTCACGGTAAGTTGGTAAAAACTATTATTACCCAACTATATCGAAAAGTATTTGTCCCAAAATTTGTGTTTGCACCCGTTTTTTCGAAGTGTGTTCTTAATTTTCAAATATGAAGCTCATTTTTCTCGATGAATTTGCTTGTAAAAACAATTTTTAAATTGATTCTTGCTTCACGCTAAAAAGTTTAACTCTTCTATGAACACAAAAATATGAAATTAAGTAAGCCCCAGGCCTATAATTAAGGCCTATGACATCAGATTTTGTTGGAATTTTGATTAACTGGTTAACCGTAACTGTTTTTTTTCGAACCATTGAAAGCGTGAAGGATCTTTGTCTTCGAGTCTGCTGAAGTTTATTTTTGTTTTCTACGCAAAATCAGGTCCACACATAATTCAAACGGATTTTGAAAGTTTCAAAAAAATTCCCAGTGTCGAGAAAGCCCGATTTGAAATTTTTGAGTTTCATTTTAGTTTCTAGCGGCTGAAGCGAGCGAGTAGGTCTGCTAATAATCTAGTTCTTATAAAAGAAAAAAAAAAATTTTCTGCTAAAATTCCTGGATTTTTTCATTATATATTTTTTAGTCATTTGTCAAAATATACCTAATTTACTATTAACATGGAGTGAGCCTTGGTTCTGGGAATTCGTTCAGATTCTCTTATCACACCAGGAATAAAAACGACAGAAATTTTTAAAATAAGCTGTTCTTTTTAACTTTTTTTTTTCATTTTTTTAGTCGGAACTTTCTGTGCGACTTGTTACTGCCTGGTTTCTCTTCTAATCTAACTTTTTCTTCAGAAACAAACAATGCAATCATAAACAAGGGAAAACTATGAAAACTATGAACAAATTCAGAAAATATTTTTAAAATAATTTTTTTTTTATTTCAGTGGGAGCTTGAGCAATGGAAATGGGACAAAGGGAGTGAATTAAGACTGGTCAGTCATTCTTCCCTCCTCTCTCTCCGACTCAAGGGCGACGGGACAGTCGACTGCAGGGGAGGGGCAAAGGAACCACCCAGTGAGTAATCTAGATCTTATTTAATCTACTTACTAAGACTTGCGTATCTGAAATTTGTTTGGTTTGGCAATTAAAATATCTTTTGATTTTTTTTTACAAATTGTGGAAATTGCCAGATTATTACAAGGTTAGCAAGATTTTTTTCGAGAGAAATACGAAGAATCTGAAATTATATTTTTAATGGAATTTCTGACTGAATGTGTTAGAACCAGATATAAACTATATTTATTATTGGTTATAAATTGGATACTTTATCTCTTTGAAATATTTAATATTAACCAATCATGATCCATCTGACTAACAACCCACTTATTTGCAAGTGCTGAAATTACTTGTAACTTCAGCACCAGAGAGATTTGAATTTAACTTAGAAATTAGTTACCTCTCCAAGAGACCTTTTAGCAATCGCAATAAGCCAGTATACTCTAGATCTATTGAGCCTAACAGAGACTAGTTAAAACCCTGAGACTAGTAGATATAAGAGTAAGATTAGGATCGGTATTAGACTAAGAAGTTGCACGAATCTATCCGGCCGAAAATAAGATAGCGTGACGAGCAGACGGTGTACCCTATCTGAAATTACTCTATGAGTTACACCTAGAACATAACTTAGTGTTCAAACTTCTTGCAAAGGTCAATGCCTAGAATGAAACTTGAGTGGCTGAATTGATACTCTCTCAAAATGCAATGTTCTTCAAGCGCTCAAAAATTTTTCCAACTTTGATTGAAACAGACTAATTTGTAAATAATAACAAAAACACTAAGTACCCATGATTCACTCGAAAGATCGACCGATTTCTGTTTTCAAAATTTTCGGTCAATTTATGACAAACTTTGTATTTTTTTTTTTTTACTTTTTTGACACTCTTGCTTTTTTCAGCTTTACACTTTTCAATTTCTTACTTTCCCAGGCGCGATTTAAGATTTTACCTATTTTGCGTTCAAAGTTCATCTTTGCTCGACTGTGTTCGAGTAACAATAAAAAATCCAATTTTTTTTAGTACAACGTTTCTAAGAGTGCAGTGCTATAAAAGCCCAAGTGCCCCTGGAATGCAAAGATATTGTAACGTAACATATTTCCATGATCACATTTTTAATTCTCAGTTCTCTACTAAAATGACCATCAGCAGGTTGGCACTTTAAACTAATTTTGATAATTGTTTTGATTTCTATTGAAAACCCTTTAGATCACATAAACTTAAAGGGATCACACTTGAACCAAGAGTTAATTTTGTAACCTTCTGACAGAGCTATTTGATTAAATAGATGTTTCGTACCAAATTTAAAAGGAAAAAAAAACTTTTTGCTATTAACAATTTCTGAACATATGTGAACCAAAGGCTGGAATTATTCGAAACATGATTCGACACTGTTTAACTCAAGATTATTGATCCTATTTGAAATAGGATTCAATTTAGTTTTGTTGAAACCTTCATTCGACCGTGTAAAATAAGAGTTTCGCACCCAATGAAAAAGTTTTGCCTAAATACGAGCAATCTTTCTCTCATAATGGCTCTCTTGGCTTTATAGCAACGTTTACTGACTTTAATAACTAACTTTTGCATGTATTTCATTTTCTGGAAATTTTATAAATCAGATGTATTAAACCGTTTTTTGATTATTAAAGTACATACCTAAGTTTGTGTTTATTGTATACTCAAAACATTTTTCCAAAAAGAACTAACAACGTGATATAATGTCTTTTTACAGAAATGGACAAAATTTTGGCTCTTGGAATGGTTTTATATCTAGTACAAACCCTTGTTTTAATAAAATAAGCGTTTCTATGGAATTTTTACACTTTTTGAAAGATTTTGTTGCCCTGAGCTCGAAGTATAATAATACCTCTTCTCAATTGACTTTTTATGAAATTTTGGAGGCTTAAAAATGCTTAACTAGCCAACTCAAAAAACAATCCGAAATGAATGGAGATATGCTAAATAATTCAAACAAAAATGCTACTACATCGAGGCGAATCTCTGAAAGTTCTGACGGCACATTTAGGATTTAGGCCAATTTCAATTTGAAACATTTTATTCCGCCACACGATAACTATCCCAAACATTAACAATTTTAAAAACCTTCATAAGGTCTTTTTACGTATTTTACGTATTTTAAGCAAAATTTTTTTTTTGCTATTAACAATTTCTGAACATATGTGAACCAAAGGCTGGAATTATTCGAAACATGGTTCGACACTGTTTAACTCAAGATTATTGACCCTATTTGAATTATGATTCAATTTAGTTTTGTTGAAGCCTTCATTCGACCGTGTAAAATAAGAGTTTTCGGACCCAATGAAAAAGTTTTGCCTATATACGAGCAGTCTTTCTCTCAAAATGGCTCTCTTGGCTTTATAGCAACGTTTACTGACTTTACTAACTAACTTTTGCATGTATTTCATTTTCTGGAAATTTTATAAATCAGATGTATTAAACCATTTTTTGATTATTTAAGTACATACCTAAGTTTGTGTTTATCGTATACTCAAAATTTTTTTTCGAAAAAGAACTAACAACGTGATATAATGTCTTTTTACAGAAATGGACAAAATATTGGCTCTTGGAATGGTTTTATATCTAGTACAAACCCTTTTTTAATAAAATAAGCGTTTCTATGGAATTTTTACACTTTTTTGTTGCCCTGAGCTCGAAGTAAAATAATACTTTTTCTCAATTGACGTTTTATGAAATTTTGCAGGCTCAAAAATGCTTAACTACCAACTCAAAAACATGCCGAAATATATGAAGATATGCTAAATAATTCACACAAAACTGCTACTACATCGTTTTAGTTATTAGCCAATTTCTAACGAGGACGAATTTTGAGCAGATATTTGGAATTTTTGTCTATAGCCATTTTCTGTGTTTTTTCTTAGTCTGGTTAAAACTCTGTAGTTTATTTCATCAAACTTGAACGTTTTTCAGAATAATTAAAACTGTTAGGTAATTTGGATTTTCTATAAACCGTCTCAAAATTGTTAGCAAATCTTTTTGAAATAGTGTGAAAAATTGATCGGTTTATTCTAGTCAATCCAATTGAAGCAAAATAGTTTCAGTTTAAACATTGATTTTTGGACGGAATAAGTAAAAAGACACCCCACATAATCTACAAAAATGAGTAACAGTTAGATTTTTTTTACATTAGAGCTCCGTCAGGCGTGTAAAGTCCTGTAGTAGTTTCAACAGTACCAATTATTCAAAAATGCCAAAAATGATCAACTCTCGGCAGTAGTTTGTTTTTCCAGTAAATTAATGAAAAAATATTAACATAGTAATAGAGGTTTTTTAACATATTGTAAAAGTAAAGGAGACTGCCCGGGTTGACGTCCATAGAAGAAAATGCTTATCATACAGTTTCATATATGAAGTCCATGGTAAAAAATGTTTATCATAGAAAATTCATACAAAATTTAAAAAGTGTTTTAAAAGTTTTTAATGAACATTTTTGGTCTAATTGTTTATTTTGAAGCTTTCTGGTCATTAAAATAATGATTTAAAATTTTTTTATAAAAAAAGCTTATCATACAATTTCCATGTATGAAAATTATAAAGAAGTCATTTTGTCATAGAAAAAATAAAGTTTTCAAAAATCACCAAAAAACTTGTCTGGGTAACTTTAAATAGATTTAAATAAGTATATCTATGATAGAGAGCATTTTGACAATCAAAAACATAATTTTAATTTCTGTCAGAAAAAAGCTTAATATAAAATTTTCATGCATGAAAATTGTATGATATGCATTTGTTTCATGAACAAAAATAAAAATTTGAGGTAAAAAATTTTCATTCCCTTTTTTGGCTGCAAACTTGCTGTTGTGTTAAAAAAATTGCAAAAAAAAATTTGCATGCAAAATTTGACATTTTTGTGTTTATAACGTAGTCCAGGATGAGTTTTTCACCCAAAAAATCTAAAAATCACAAGAAAGTGTTTTTTTTTGTAAACACGATTATTATCTTTTGTTTCATTTGCTAAAATAAGAATAAATTTGTACAAAAAATAGGCCTTTTTTTCGCAACCATCAAAATTTTCAAACGAAAAATTATCTAGCCATATTCAAAAATTTATTTTTTGGTATATATTTCCATGTGAAAATGTTACATTTAACTTTTATGGCTAAAACCACCAAATTCAGTTTATCTGCGTGGTAACTGCCAGTTACACTCTGGTATTTCTCAGGTCAAAAATGCTTGGTTAGTGTTTCGGTTGAAACACGAAAATTCAAAACAAAATATTTTTGTATTTTCATTTATGGAAAAAATGCTTCTCATAAAATTTCATAGAATGGAAAAAATGCTTGTCATACAATTTCATATATGGAAAAAACGCTTATTTTGCTATTTTCATACATACACTTTCACACTATGAAATTGTATGAAAGAGTATGATAAGCATTTTTTTCATATATGAAAAATGTATGATTACTATTTGTTGTCAACCCGGGTGTACATCAAATTGATAATCTTTGGCACTGTTGAAAATTGGTACTGTTGAAACTATAACAGGACTTTACCCGCCATACATTAAAAAAAGTTTTGATAATCAACCAGGCGGTTTGAAAAAATGATTTTACGGGGTCAAATTTTTCAGGCATACCTTTAGTCTTCCAAGATTTATAACGATTTATAAATATGGAAGGTTTTGTTTTGTTAATTACCATAGTCATTTTTTGTTTCAGGTGTTCTGGTGGTGAAGCTAAAACTGAAAGACAATGTTCGAATGTTCCGAGGTGATACACATTTCAACTTCAACCTCGCATTCGACCACAAACAGACAGCAGAAAACAACAACAGCGGCGAAATAAACAAACAGGACAACAAAATAGCCTTCGGAGACGTGAGTAGTTGGATAGGCGGGTTTGTTTTTAGTTTTTGTTTCAGTTTCATTTTGGGCTAAATTATCATCCTCCTCCATCAGGTAATTTAAAGGAGATGATTATTTAATATGACACTAATCTGGAAGTTTTCTGTGAACATCCAGAAACGAGCATTTTACTCCGCAGCGCTAACCATTTTTAATCAAAATCAAACATTTGGGGGGGGGGGGGGGGATATATACCTTAAATCGCTCTAGTTAGGGGGAGAATATTGGCTGGATCCTCCGCATTTTAAGCTGTCAGGCTCTGTTGAGTTTGATGGCATTTTTGTCAAGTTGAGATCTTAGTTTTTTTTGAAGTTTAATGATTTTGTAAAAGTTAGTTACAAATGAATCGCTAATTTCTCCATTTAATTTAACCATATTTTGAATTTGAAAACCTCTGTATTTACCTTATCAGCATCAGTTAAAAATCCAATAGTGTCTTATTGTCAAATGAATGAAAATTACCTTACTTTAGATAACTTAATATTGGTAATAAATATTACTTTTTAATACTGAAATTTATATCGAAATACAAATCAATTTTGCTGAAATATTGGTAAATTTACTTTATTACAAAATCTTATCTAATTTCAGCTCAGAAGTGGATCGCAATGTGAATTCCGAGTTCTACAACAGAATGACAGATCTATTGTGTTAGAATCAGTCAAATATCCTGGACGATATTTGTCATTCAACCCTGACGGATCTCAAGTGGGGGAGGAAGTTAAGGGAGGGGCAAAGCAGGGGAGGGGTCAGAATAGAGGGAAACACGTGACGGGTGGAGGAGGCGTGGAAAAGAGTTCTTATTTGTTCAACGCTGTCTGCAAGGTTGTTTAGAGAGTTGTCGCAATATTCGGCGACTTAGAAAATTGTGATTGTTAAAAAAATGCTGAAATATTTTCAAAAATATGAAATGTTTAATATTGGTGTATGGAGTTTGGAGTTATCTGGTCAATTTAAGTCATTGCATTGACAATTTGTTTGCACAAAATTTACACAAAATTTGAAATAGCAAAACAGAGTTCTTTAAAATGCTTTTCACCATCATTGTTTTGAAAACTTGTCGACTTCACTTATGATGCTAGTGGTGTTCTCCCAGAGGATTCATATTTGTTTTTGTAAATTTATACAAATTACTCTGTAATATTATATCGTTACGAAACAATTTATCATGATTAAAACGTTCGTAATGTAAAATTATTCCGAGTTTTGTTTTATCCAGGGCGTGTTCCGAGACCAGGGCATTCTCATTATCCAATGCAGTCCCCCCGAAAAAACCCTCTGTATCGACGACCTAGGACAACTTAACGGAAGCGGATCACGTGACATGACGTCATACTTCCGAATAAGGAAGGTGGGGGAGGGGGGAGTGCGGATGTTCCAGAGTGTGACCAGACCGAATTGCTACATCCAAATCAAAGACGGAAAATGCAATGGGATGGTACGTACTCATGAATTCAATTTTGATAATCATTATTGTTTCCAGGCTAATATACCAATCATGATTGCCTTAAAACTGCATTCAAAACCATTATACTTAAGTTCAGGAAGTAGTCATGGGACCTACTGATTCTCTGTTTCTGAAAAGTATCGAATTTGAAAAACCGAATAAAACTTTTTAGTCGCTTATGAAACAATATGGCACGCGAAATGGCTTTTGGTTTGCAACTCGGGTCGAGTTGTTTGACTTTTGATTCGACCGACTCGACCAAAAATGGCTATGTTTCGCCCAATTTAGCCCAAACAAGCTATGTTTCTACCGACTCGACTGAAGGTAAAATGAGTTCGATTATGTTCGATCCAAGCGCGCTACGTTTCGACTGACTCGATCTGTATAATGTATGCACTTCAAAATATGATCAACGTTGATGTTTTTCGCCGCCAAATAGTATAAAAAGATGAGTGTTTTTGTTTCGGCATAGTCTAAACTTGTTTTTTGATTAAACAAGTTTTTCAATTTCGATGTGACAAAAATCTGAAATTTCTTTTTTAGTCTAATAGCTTTTCTTAATTAATTACTTTAATGGGCTGAACAACCCTTCTCGGACTATTGCCTGAGATCATCTGTGGCCCATTTCATGAGTTCGACTATGTGTCGAAACTGTGTTCGACCACGCACGTTTTGACTACACTTTGTGTTTGACTTCGTTTCGACCGCGCATTTTAATCGGCGTTTTGTTCGACTTTGTTAATATGACACTTTATGTTCGACTTTGAGCTCGACTATGTTTTGACCATATTTGTGTTCGACTTTCTGTTCGAACATGAATTGCAATAGTGTTTAACTATCTTTCAATCATGCTTTTGACTATGATTCGAAATTATGTTCGACCGAAAGGACTGTTTTTCACAACAGACTTTGGGTCGAAAAACATCTTTGTGATCCAAATTTGAACCAAATACCTCAGCTGGGGAAACAAAAAAAATTGCTTTTAGGGGTAAAAAATTTAAAACAATGTTGCATTTTGAATTAAAATGAGACAAAAAAGGTGAGACAATAGTTGCTACAATTTGAATTCGATTATTTTACATTTTTCGGCCTCAGTTTAACAGTTTAACATTTTGTGGCCTATCAATCTAAACTTTTAAATAAATTATGACAAAATTTTTTTAAAGGTTTATTTGATCATCAAGCTACCATAATAAGACTTCGAATTATAATCTTCGAATCACCCCCTTAAACCTTTTCCATTTTTTCATATTTATATCGTTCCTTAGTTTTTGAGGTAAGTTACATTTTTTCTAACCTACGTGTTTTTGCTTTTTTCAAGATTTGATTGCTTTAAATTCAAATGTAAAACTAACATACTCAAACTGCACAAATTTCGAGTTTGTTTTTGAAAAAAATCTATATTATCAGTAAAATCATTTCCTGAACGTGTTTTATACCGAAAACCATTGTAGCATAACAATGTTCAACGCAATGTAGTTAGGGTGCTTATCGGTCATATGGCCTCGTTGTATTTCCTCTCCGAGTCTTATTTCTAATGATTACCAACGATAAATTGCAAATTATATGTTTGCGATTGCGCGAGTATTTGTTTTTTCTCGGAATAGCCTATTCGAAATAGATCTCGCAGGCCATATACTCTACCAATCATTCAAATATGGCACTTTGAAAATGGAAACTCTTTATTCAAACTAGTTACTAAATTTTTCATCAGATGTTTTTAGTGGAAAAAAAATCGTCTTGATAGTTTAGTTCCGATTACATTCAATCAGTTGAAAATTAATGTCATGTGGAACGGTGTCTAAAAACGCGTTGTTTGATCATTTTCATATAAGAAAGCTGAACTCCAATTTTTTCTGCGCTAACAGTCCAGCCAAACTACGATAGCTCAGAAAATGAAAACTGTGGTGATTTTGTAGTGAATCAATTTTGTCAAAAGAATTCCATGTTGAACTTCGGCTATGAAACTCACCATGGTTGGAAACTCGATGGCTATTACTTTCGATTTTGGACCCATAACCAGCAAACCCTTGTTTAAATTAGAATAAGCATTGGTCACTCTAGCCCTTATTAGTATTTAGATGTGAGGGTGCTAGGTAAATACAAAAACAGAGCATTAAAGCGACATAAATTTAGGGCAAAAGTGAGCGTTGAGACATGAAAATGAGCTGCTCGTATTTGCGTGGTTTATGTTTTTCTTAAAGACTAATAAAAAACGATTGAGTTCTGTGTAGCGCTGTTTTAAAGTCCAATGAAAAACTGTAGTCGTCTTAACAGCTACCGTGTTGTTTGATGGAAACCACAATTGATTAACTAATATCTCCCACCATTATAGTTAGCTGCTAGAGATAATAACTATGTTAAAAAGTTTTATAACGATTTGCATTGAATTTTACGCAATTTTATCGATGAGTGAAAAACACGCAACTTTTTCTATATCGCAATTTTGAGAATTTTTCCGAATGTGAATTATTTTTTTTTCCTTTTAATGACCTACAGATTCGTTTGGTCAAAAAACCAACTGTTTTTTGTGGAAAATTTGATAACATTTCATAAAAATTATCAATAAGAAAATTAACTGGCTCAAAGTATCTCTCAAGGTTTTGTAATGTAAAAAAATGTTGAAAAATGGAGCCTAAAAAGCAGAGAAGATTTCATAAATAATTGAGGTTTTAAATCAAAACTAAGCAAAATGAAATTCAATCGACAGTCAGCAGATCTGTTTTTTAACCGATGATCAGCAAACTTGGCTATTATCTACTGGCACCGTTAACGCACAAAAAAGTTAAAAACTAGTTTTTTGAGTTTTAGCCCGCTGATTTTTTACAATATAGATTGCCGATACAATTTTGCATAAAAATGAGTCAAAATTATTTAGTTTGGGTACGTATATTTAAAAAAAATCTGTTGAAATTCTGAGTGGATTTTCAGGATATTAATGTCTAAATCGACCGTTTCAATAATTGTATCATCCTAAATGCTATTTTATAATTGCAGCAGAATCGTTCTTATGTACTTAAACTTCAGAATTTTGACTCACTTTGACATCGGATTTGAATTATGTGCATGTGAACAATCTCGCCTAGATAAACCAAGAAAACAAACTCTCTCCATAAAATTTTAAAAAATTCGAGCAGTATAAGGCATGCATGCATTATGCTCAAATCTGATTGGTTGAAAAAAAAATTAACCAAGTGAACGATCCCCCCTAATTGAAATAAGGGGATATGATTCAATTGGTGCTAAAATTGTGTCAGGGAGTTGCCTTAAATAGAAATATTTTTCTACAGACAGATTTTAACATGATTTCTTGTTTTGAACACTAAAATTAGGTATCTTTTACTTTTCGAAAAAAAAACTTTTCAAATACTGAAATCCATTTGGCAAAATGGAAAAAAAATGTCAAACTAAAGTAATCATCGTTCTAACTTAGTTTGAAATGCTTGTCAATCAAATGAAATTTTCATTTCGATTACTGTTCATTCAGTAACAAAACAAAACACTTTCCTTAGTAAGTAAAAAAAAACAATTCGTAAATTTAAATTCAGCACTTTATTATTGGTATAAATTTAGTCCAAACAGTGGTTATCAACCAAACGACGATGTATAACTGTGTTTCTCTCTTGTCAATCGAATGCTTGTCAATCAAATGTCTTTTTTAACTCGATTACCATTCTGTTTCTTCAATCGATTCCCTCTCAAATGTCCATGCATTCCTTACCCACACAAGCTAATCCCATCGGACAGTCTGCATTACTCTCACATGTCTCCCATTCCGCAGATGCTCTTTTTTCATCCTCCACTACTTTTTGGATCAGTTCAAAAAATCATTTTTGTTTTGTTTTGTAGTAAAAGTTTCCTTGTCTTTAATCCTATAATTGGAACAGAATAATTTAGCAAAATGCTTTCATTCCAGAGTGTACTTTCAAGGTCGCTTTCGCAAGGGTGAGGGGGGGGGGGGGGGGGGTGGAGATTTAAATGTGTGAAATTTGAACTGATCTCTAATTTTTCGTTACACATTCTTAAATATTGATCTACCAATAAAATATTTATAAACTTTTTAAAGTGTTTTTTTTTGGGTGGGGGACTTAAAGAGATCGAAAACTATTCTTTTTTGGGAAAAATTGAGCTGATCCCTGATTTTTTGTTGAAGTCGAAATGACTTCCTCGGTCCCAGTCTCGTCTGTGTACCGGAAATCCCCTCGCATAATGGGCTTCATTCGGTTCAAACAGCATAACTGCACTTAGCATAACTGAAAGACTTACGGCGACAGTCAAATTCATGTTCAAGTAACCAATTAAAGTAATTTTTGATTTTGAACAATAGATGAAAATGTTTCAGAAAATAACGTTGCGGCCAAGTATGAAATCAACTGGTAATTTTGTGTGATAAAACTTTTTGGCGTGCGCTTTTTTAAAACGGGATAATTTTGTCTAACAGACCTTAAGTTAAAATGTTTAATTTTGCTTTTTCAGGTAATTTAGTGAATATTTGTTGGATGTGTGAAAAACCTGTCAGTCTTATTAGAAACTCAATTCAGGAAAAAGTATACGCTAGATAAACTTGTCAGATCTACGAGGATATAAAAACTCCCAATTTATCAGATTTTGTACCCAAAATATGACTGGCAATTATCCGCTCCGTAAACTTTTAGTTTATTTTACCACCCTTCAAAGGAGCCAAAAATCGATTCCAAGAAGTTTTTTTCCCACCAGGGGAGCTTTAAGCCGAGAAGTTTTTCAGTCGAATAATCCCAAAATCCAATTGTTTTGATAATTTTTTGGTTTTTTTTGTATTAAACTAACCGCTTACTTCGAGTATTTTCATCCAATTTTGGAATAAAGTAGAATTCTGAGCTTTTCTACTTTTCTTTTTTGATGCTAAGATTGATATTCGTTTATTTGATTTTCTTACAGAAGACGCAACACTAAAATTCATAACCAGATTGAGATAGTTTAGACCATAATTTTCATGATTGTAAAAGCACAGATTGCGCAAAAAAAGTAGACATCCAAAGTCTGGCTGGCTTTTCCTTTTTTCGCGGTACAAAAAAAATGAAAATTAGCTAACGAAGGACTAATTTTATTCATACATACGGAGGAAGATTTACTTAATTAAACATAATGAATAACTTTAAATTTCAAAAGTAACTAAATTTCATATTTTACAAAATAACCAATTTATTTGAAAATTTTTTTTTTCGAGAATTCAATCAGCAATAATCAAAAATGAACCAAAATATTGTTTGATTTTTGCTAGCGTTGAGTAGCTATTTTTTATTCTTGTTTTTTTGAATAAATGTGAAGATTAGCATTTTACTGTCATAAAAAGGAACTTGTTATGAAGATGTTCCTCTAAATTTCCACCATGGGTACTGTTTTCTTTCTTCTCTTATTATTTTGCACCCCGAAAATGGGCTAATGGAACCGTAAAACGGGAAGCGCAAATAATAAAATTGTTATAAGAACAATGCCAACTGGTAATAATTTTTTTTGAAGAAACTTTAGACCGAACGTGCTTTTTGTAGTGTAAACAGCATGTTCGATTTTTTAGTACTAGTGAAAAAAAAAGAAATTATCCAAGTAAATTGAGCCCAAAATCTGTAAGAAATAACTGCTCTACACAAATAAATATACTATTTGTGCCGGCGCCAAATTGTGCAATCGGACCTAAGCCTGTCAGTTTTAAGCTCATAAAGCTCGCAATTAGCCAATTGATTGAAAATTCCAGGAAAGAAGTTTAGTCAGCAATCATCAGTCGAGTTCAAAAAAATAGAACAAATTTTCTTCCCCATTTCGCGACCAAAGAATAAAAAAGTCAATTACCAAACAAAAAATGATCAAAAAGGAAAAACTAAATAAACCCTGAGCTCACTTACAAAAAAATTCTTAGAAAAACATACTACAATTTGTTTTAAAAACAAAAAAATATATTCTTATGAGTTGGGGCGGGATTATTTTTTCATGGATCACATTGATTCTTATGGATTGAACAGTTTTTTTGTTCAGGTGGATTACGCCGTGTGTTTGACACGCTATTTTTTTTTTGGCCGGAGAAATGTTTGTTCATTTCTTTAGCCCAATACTGATTTTAATCTTACTCTCATCTCGTAGGTCTTAATAATTCTTACAAAAAAAACTAAAAAAATTTAAACTCAGAAGAACCATCTTTTTCTGATTATTCTCAGAATGGTCTGGCTATGAAATATTCAGGTTAAGAAGAAATATCCTAATTCTAAAGGTTACGTTATCAAGTATGATAGGTTACATGGGTTAGTAAAAACGATGGCTGTTAAATACTCAATTGACTGTATTCTAGTTCGCATAAATAAGAGAGTGAACTTGAGCTCAACACATAACAGCTAGACAGCTCTAAATTGATTGACAGGCAGGTACCAGACTCACACTTAATTATAGTATGAGAAATCTCAGAGATAAATAAATAAAGAATAGCAACTAGGATGATTGACAACTGAACATATTGTAGCCCCTGACATTTCCGTATGGATGTAAAATTTAAATACATAGTAATTTAAATTTAATATAATAACTACACCTTCAACCTGCCACCTCAACTAAACGATACAACAAACTTGAGTTTTAGGCTTATGGCCATCCCTCTCCCTGGGTTAATGAGTTTTTGACTGAGTTTAAAATAAGGTTCATTTTCCTTCTCCCCCTGGATGTTTTCCTTTTTGCTCCGCCCCCTGGATAGTTTCAATCATGACTCCTCCCATTTTATCTACTGGCTTTCTTCTTCTAGTACTCCTTCTGGTTCCCGAGCTTTCACTTTGACTGCCAGATTCAACGTCTTCTTCTTGACTACTATTTACAAGGCACTCTCTCGCCACTAACACCGGACGTTCCTGGCTTCCCTTCACTTGTTTTCCTTGGCCCCCTTTTTCTCGCTTCGCTCTCGTCACTCTGGATTTTGCTTTAGCTCCCGTTCCTCGTTCCACTACTGCCGTACTGCCGCTTGGGCCTTGTCCCGCCGCAATCGCTTCGCGTCTCGCTAGCACTTCTACCGGTAATCTTGCAGGGATAATATTCAATGGCTGATAATCTTCAGTATCCGAACTGTCGGACTCGAAGGTGGCTACTGGTACCTTCTGCATGGCCTTTGCTCTTTTTGATTTCGGGCTCACGACTGCCCCTTTCTTTGCGCTCGCTAACATTTCCTTGAGCGTAGCCGGCTTCCGTTTCTTGGGAAGGTTGGGTTTCGGTTTTGATGCCACTGCACTTTTCCTAAGAACAGATCCGTTTTTAAGTTTGAAAGTATGTTCGGATTCAGAGATTACATTGGATTTTAGTAATTTATACCGATTTAGGGTCTTGCTGGTGGTACGCTGGTATAGGTCGCGTGCTCCTCCACTCCCCTGGATGTTAGGGCCAGTGTCTCCACTCCCTTGGATTTTTGGGGCAACTCCCGATACCTCTCCTGGACATGTGTCCATCTGCTGATCACTATCCAGCGTGATAGGGGCCCTTCGCAAAGCTGGAGCGTATGTCAAGTCAGACCTCTCCTCCCAATTCGAATGCTGAGGGATTGCAATTTTACTCATCTCGGGATCAGTATCGTCTAAACACAAACATTTTTGTTTTAAGACGTTCTTCCAATTCAAATTTTTCAAACTTGGTTTTTTCGTAAGATTTCGTAAAATGGTGTTGGCCTCCCGGCCGTGGTGAGCTTCGAAAGGTGTTAATTTAGTAGTTGCATTTTTGGAAAATCGTAGGGCGCCTAGCGCTTTATCGACCATAGATTCTAGAGACTTATGCTCTTTTTCTGTCGCATTAAGACAAAATTCTTCAAATTCCTATTGTCCGTTCAACGGACCCCGTGCCTCGATGATCATTCACTGGGGAGTACATTAGCTCGATGCCTTCGTTGTTACAGAAGCTTTTAAATTTATTAGATGTAAAACATGATCCCTGATCAACGTGGATTTTCCGAGGTACTCCATGATGCGTTATGTATTTATCAAGGAATTTTAAGACTTTATCTGACGTATTAGTGGTAGTAACCATTGCTGATGGCCACCTTGAGAAACGGTCCGTAGCAACCAAAACATATTTCTTACTCTCATTTAAGTAATTTATTGGCCCCCAGAAATCCAACTGTAAACATTCATTGGGTTCCCTTGGTTCAGGGACCTTCCCCATGTCTCCCTTGGGTAATAACGATTTTAGGTTCTTACCCGCTTCCGTGCATTGCTGACAGTACGTGGCTTTTGCTGCCAAACTGCGGTACATGTAGGGATACCAGACGTCACGCGCTGCTTCGTACATATTTCTTTTACCGTGATGGTAATAGTGTATCCGCGATTCAATTGGGACTTGTAATGGCAAAGGGATGACCAGCCGTCCATCCAACCACACACAATCGTCCCGTAATGACAAATCGTTAGCGTATTGGGCCCAGTACTTCCCAATCTTCAGGAGTTCTTCTTTCAAATTAGTCTTCTTCTCCAATGCTTCTTTTACTCGTACTAAGTTCACATCCGCCGGTATGTTTGAGGCAACAAATTCTAAATTAAATAGTTCTGGTAACGCTTGGGACTTCTTGATAACCTTGCAATCACGGGGAATGATAGACATAATTTGCTGATTCGGATTAACGGTAGGAAAAAGCTCGCCTGGAAATTTCGAAGGTATAGAAAGTACTGTATTAATTTTTGAATCCCGTGTGTTTTTAGTAATTGCAACAATTTCAGGGTTAATGACAGTTATTTCATCGCTACTCAATAAATTTTTATCTAATCTAAGCGGAGAGTTGATCTGAGGTTGTAGTATATTCGGAGAGTTAGTTTGGGAATCAATTGTAACACTTTCAACTTTTTCAATTTCAAATACTGGGAAAGAACAATTAGAGTCGCTATCCGTTTTGTTTGAGTTATTTGATGTAGGCAAATTTAACCGTCTTCCAAGGGAACAATATATGGAGCACACTGAATGTCCCTTGGGTTTCTTTGATTTACGCGTTATGCAAATTGATCGTTTCCTATTGGTCGTTGTCTTCACGCATGACTTTCCGCCCTCAACCGTCGCTGGTTGTAGGCATGTTATCCGTTCTCGCTTTTGATTGGATGAAAACCGTCTAGACTGTTTAGAACCAGTTTCTTCAATATCCTGATAATTTCGTTTACCAAGGGGTTTTAAATCATTTGTGAAACCAAGGGATTTTCTAATTGAAGCGATTTTTGCCACGGTGAACAAATTATCATATTGACTTATCGGTTTAGGGGGTTCGCTAGGATGCCTTGACAAGTAATCTGCCAATCCGATCTTGGCGCCCGGTTTGTGTTCTATTACAAAGTCAAAAGGAATCAGTCTGTCTAGCCAACGTGTCAGTCTTGAAAAAAGTGTTTTGTTTTTCTTGTTATTCCCGTTAAGTAATTAAATTAGAGCCTTATGATCCGTAATAACTGTATAGGATCTTCCTAGAATGTAGTTTCTGAAATACTCGGCCCCCCATACCACCGCCAGCATTTCAAGCTCGTTAGTGGAATATTTTTTCTCGGCTGCGTTTAAGAATCGTGATGCAAAAGATATAGGGCGCCACCCTTCTGTACCCAATTGCTCTAAAACCGCTCCAAGGCCATTGTGACTTGCATCGGAAACAACTCTAATGTCTTTATGAATATCAAAGTGTTTTAATTCAACTATGTTTGCTACCCCCAGTTTAATGTTTTGGAAAGCATTTTCACATTCCGCGGTCCAGTTATATTCGTTTTTCTTGCTGAGGAGTGGCCTTAATGGAGCTGACATCTCCGCTATCGCTGGTAAATATTTATGCAAGCTGTGGATTGAGCCCATAAATAATTTCAATTGCGTGACTGTTTTAGGAGCTTTTGATGCGTCTATCGGCGATGTTTTGCGTTTAAGAGGCGTAACCCCCGTTTCGGTTATACGATGACCAAGCCACTCGCATTCTCGTTTCGCAAACTCGCATTTTGGTAACTTCAGCGATATGTTTTCGTGGTTTAGTTTCCGGAGGATCTTTTCAACCAAGGAGATATGTTCTACTTCTGTTCCCTTGGTTGTAACCAAAATATCATCAATAAACGCGTTCGCTTGTGGGAATTCGTTTAAAATTGAGTCCATTACTCGTTGGAACTCTGGCGGCATGGACGTTAGCCCGTAAAACCCTGTTCGGAAACGGTAAGTTCCTGTCGACCGACCGCCCACCAAAGAAAAGTTACAGTGCCCGCTTGTTTCTTCACTAAGCGGTAGTTGCCCATACGCGTACGTTAGGTCCATCGTAGTAAAGTACACCTCCCCCTGTTTTTTCTCGGAAATAAGTTGTCCTATTGTATCTACAAGTTCTTCTATATTTGGCATTTGGTATTTGTTTTTATGAACTTGTTTATTAAGCTCTCGAGATTCCAATGCTAATTTTACGGACCCGTCTTTTTTTACGGTGATGACGATCGGAGAAACAAAATATCGATCCGAACACTCTTTCAATTTTTCTATATGTCCCTGGGTTAATAGCTTATCAATTTCTTTGTCCACCTTTTCTTGGAGCGTTACCGGCACTCTCCGTCCCTTCTGCTGCACTGGTACAAGATTTTTGAAAAATTCTGCTTGAACCTTGTAGTTCCTAATTTTTCCAACTCTAGTAAAAAGTTTTGGGAATAGCTTACTGAAGTATAATTGCCATTGGTCCATCTGCTCATCCTCCGGTTCGTCGTGCCCCTCCTTGCATGAATTGACCTCCGTCCCCTGGATATTCATGACTTCCCCCCTTGGATCTGCTTGCATCAACTGGAGTCCGAGTTTACCCATCAAATCACGTCCCACGATGGATGGTCTGGTCCCCCCAATGACTCGGACTTCTGCTTTCGTCTTCCAGCCGTTTGATGCTAACTCGAGTTCCATTCTGCCCAACATCTTGATCCGATTGTTACTGTAGTCCCGAAATTCGTCATCGTCAGTGTCATCCTGCTTTAAGTTGATTCCCGCTCTTCCCACTGTTCTTCTCAAATCTTCTAGTGTTAGAATGGATATCGGCGATCCACTGTCGATCCAAATGTTCATCGGGTGCCCATTAATGAATATTTTGAGTTTAGGTCCGGCAACTTTCAAAACCGTTTCCTTCTTCCGTCTAATTGCCATAACCATGTAGTCGTCTGAACTTTCTGATGACCAGCTGTGGCGTTCTCGTTTAACGAATCCTACTGAATTTGCCGCAGCTTGGGGCTCCACGTCATCCGAGGGGGTATCTTCTTCCTCGAATAGTCCCCCCCCCCCTGGATTGTCGTTTTCCCCGGCAAGTCCTCTCAAAATGTCCAATCTTTTTGCAAAAATTGCATGTGACGGCTCTTGCTGGGCATCGTTGTCGGTGTTCTGGGGTGAAGTTCGGTTGATCGCAATTGTAACATCTGCGCTCTTGCATTCGATCTTGTGTTCGACCTACTCCACGATTTGGATATTGACCCCGTCCCCTTGGCATTCCTCGTCCCCTGGATCCACAAATATTGCTGACTGGTTCCGTTTTGATCTGCAGGGATTCCCCTGGCGATGGATGTGCCATTCCCGTGGAACCGGATACGGCGCCCTTGTAGCTCCTTGCGTACTTGTCTCCTCTTTCATATGACATTGCGATTCTCAATGCTTCCTCCGGGGTTTTAGTTTCCCTACACAGCTCGTTCTGCTCGTCCCTGTTCCTCGTGTTGAAAATAAATATGTCTCTCACCATTTTCCGCTCCTGGGTGCCCAAATTGCATCTTGCCGCCATTCCGCTAAGTTCTGCATAGAACGATTCTAGACTTTCACCCTCCTTTTGTTTCCTCGACAACATCTGGTACATCTCGTACGTTTCGTTCCGCTCTTTCTGAAAAAGAGCTACACAGTTATCCAAAAAACTTGGGTATCGTATTGTTTCCATATCTAAATGTGGATGCTGGTTATGCAAGGCTCTCTGTCCCTCATGTCCCAGGCATAAGTACAGATTCGATATCAGTGTACGTTCACCTTCTGCCCGTGGTTTTCCACCAATGTCACCCAGGTCAGTAATCTGTGCTTCAGTTAATGTCAATGCAAAGTAGTATTCCGACGAGACTAGTCCATGTTTCGCCACCATCGCCCAATGAAATCGTTGTTTTCAGTGTTCCCATAAAAGTTGTGGTTCCGCCTGATTCGGAGGCCAGAAGGCCACAATTCCAAGGGGGTTTCCCCCCCCCCCCCCCCCCCACCATCCACTGGCTGCGCCATAACAAGGGTTAGTAAAAACGATGGCTGTTAAATACTCAATTGACTGTATTCTAGTTCGCATAAATAAGAGAGTGAACTAGAGGTCAACACATAACAGCTAGACAGTTTTAAGTTGATTGACAGGCAGGTACCAGACTCACACTTAATTATAGTATGAGAAATCTCAGAGATAAATAAATAAAGAATAGCAACTAGGATGATTGACAACTGAACATATTGTAGCCCCTGACAAACAGTTTTTTTGTTCAGGTGGATTACGCCGTGAGTTTGACGCGCTATTTTTTTTGGCCGGAGAAATGTTTGTGCATTTCTTTAGCCCAATACTGATTTTAATCTTACTCTCATCTCGTAGGTCTTAATAATTCTTACAAAAAAAACTAAAAAAATGTAAACTCAGAAGAACCATCTTTTTCTGATTATTCTCAGAATGGTCTGGCTATGAAATATTCAGGTTCAGAAGAAATAACCTAATTCTAAAGGTTACGTTATCAAGTATGATAGGTTTTTATCAACTACTTTACAATCATTTTAGCTGGAAAAACACTGAAAGCGAGAAGCAAGAATAAATATGAACTACCAAATGAGTTGCACTTATAAAAGTTGAAAGTGAATATATGCCCTAGGCAATTTTAACTTCTATTTAGAAAAATTCGTTTTTTGCGTTGAAGTCAGTTTTTGTCGTTTAATCTTTTTGTATATTTATTAGAAAGAACGTTCACACTTAATATAGATTTAAAATGTTTTATCTGAAAAGTTCAAACTCGTATTCTTTTGCATAAATTTTCAAGGGCATTAATGTAAAATGATTTCACATATCAATACCAGCTGAATAAAACATATAAAAAAATCGCCAAGTTAACAAAGCGTTTCTACCACCTAGGGTGAGCCACATAACAGATTTTATCAAGCAAACTTATCAAAGCAATTTTTTAATATAAACCATCAAGAATAACCAAAAATTATATCAAAAAAAGTTTAAATAAGATGCATAGTTTGTTATGGTGATAGAAATATGATTTGATGGTCAAACTCAAACACCTCATATTCGCCGTACTTCTCTTTATCGCAATGAGCAAACAGAAAGAATGCTTTAAATCTCAACATACCCACATTAGAACAAAAAATTTAATGTTTGAATAAATTTATTAGCCTTCATATTATACAAAACAAAAATTGTGCTTGTTGTTTGAATTTTTGAAGAAAGTGATTAAATACTTAGACTCGTGGTTTTTTTCCAGACCAACTCTGTCTTTTCAGCAAGTCATTTTTGACAGATTTTTTTATATTATCCCTAAGATACTTTTTTTCTTGAGCTCAAGTTAAAAAATATGTATTTGTTCTCAATTTTTGTGAGGTTTTGGGGGTTAAAAGATTGCCATTATAGTCCAATTGGGATATTTAACGCGTGATATATTTCGTGCTTTTAACGCAAAAGCGGAGAATTAATCCGTCTTCAAAATCCTTCCAAAGTGTACTGAGGCATGCTACTTGATCTGTTTAATACTTCGCTATATGGAAATATAGCTCTTTGTGCTATACATGGCGTGTTGGTTGACAATTTTCAAAAACAAAATCATTAAATTGTAATTTTTGAAATTGTGATTGTTTTTATCAGACTGAATTTTTTTTCATAGACCTGAAAGGGAAATTGAATCATTCGGGGTTTTGCCCTGATGCGAGCAGTCCTCTTGCGTAAAATTTGTAAAACTCAGAAAAAAATTAATTTAAGATCCTTGTCCATCATACAAAAGATGTGATCCTAAAAATATATATAGATTCACTCAACTTTTTAGTTACATTCATATCCGCATTTTCGCCATGGTTTATCAGTTTTAATCTTCTTGAAGTTTTTGGCTTTGATAGTTTTGAACGTTTTTGGCTTATCAGTTATATTTTTTTCTGCCATAAAATATAACTGAAAGCAAGATTTGTGCAGTTGCAATTATGCAACCCAACATTTAATAACAAATTGAATGATACATAAAAACCAGTCTGTGCGTCAGTTTTTCCGGCACTTTTAAATGTTTTGGACACGACTGAAACTCAACGAAAACTCAAAATAGTGATAGTTTATTATTTGATCATTATGATGACAACATTTAGAACCGCTATTGAAACATCAATCCGGCTCTCTTTTTTAGTGTTTAAAAAAACAAGAAGTGTTCCAAAATTTCTTTTTCGTTTTCAAATGTCTTTGCATGCTCCTCCCACACAAGCTAGTCCCATCGGACAATCACCAATCTGCTTGCATTCCTTATGTTCATACCCACTTTTCTTTTAAGCGACTAAATTTGACCGATTTAAAATTGAGCTCACTGTTTTTTGTCCGATTTTCAGACTGAACTTATATTAAAATTTTTCGGGTATTATATAAATGTATCTGTTTTGTATAATTTACAAAAATTTAATAAAATTTATATAGAAAAAACGGTGTTTTTGGCTGGAATCAAACGTTTTCAGATAAATGTGGTTTTTTTAAAATATTTTTTTTAGTAGCGATCAGTAGCAAAATCCCATACAAAGCAAAAAAAAAACTTTTTTCCAAATTGTTCCAAGGACACTAAAAACATTTGATGGTGAATTAAAGGAAATTTTTTGATTTATTTAACAAAATGGAAGCATTCCTTTTATTTCAGTTTTTACTTTAAATGAACCCTTAACTGCATTGTACCATCATTTAACAGTTTTGATTATTGTTAAGCTCAATTCTAAAGTGATCGTGAATTTTACGGTCAAAATTGAAATCGGAGGACGGATCCCATCGTTTGCCGTCCGTTGAGAACTCACTGCTCTTTTTAGCCACTAGGTTTGACCAATTCAAAATTAAGCTCACTATTTTGTTTTCGAGTTTTATATTTAAAATAAACTACAATGTTTCAACGAAAATATTTTTCATTAATTTCGATGTTTTTTTGATAATTCACAAAATAAACACAAAAAAAATCAAAACATAAAGTCATTATGAAAAAAAAGTTGTTTTTGGCTGAAAGGTTTTCAAACAAATGATTTTTTTTAAATAATTTTCAATAGCGACTAGTTGCGAAGTCATAATTACTGCAAAAGTTAGATTTTATTGCAGATTGTACCAAGAATAGTCAAAAACTATTCGATGGTGAAATAATGGAAAATATTTTTGATTTTATTAAAACAAATTGGAAGACTTTCTTGAATTTCAGTTATTACATTTATTGAACCATTCTGCATTGTACTATCATTTTTCTAATTAGAATTTTGTGAAGCTCAATTTCAAATCAGTCAAGAGTTTTACGGTCGAAGTTAAAATCGGAGGATGGATCCCATCGTTTGCCGTCCGTTGAGAACCCACTGCTCTTTTTAGCCACTAAAATTGATCAATTTAAAATTGAGCTCCTTTTTCGGGATCGAGTTTCATATTGAAAATAAACTACAATTTTTTTACGGAAATATTTTTCATTATTTTTGATATTTTTCTGAGAAATAAAAAAAATCTGAAAACATTGATTTGAAAAAAATATTGTTGTTGGCTGAAAATAACTTTTCAAATAAATGTTTGTATTTTTCAGCTATTTTGCGCTACAAAATTTTGATATTTTGCATATTCCAGTTGTTGATCTTATAACGAAATCAAATACAAAGAACAAAAAAAGTTTTTTTTTTCACAGATTCTACCTGTAATCTCAAAACTAATTGATGATGGTTGAATTGAAATTATTTGCACTATTTGGCGAAATATAAATTTTTTTTCAACTTTTTGTTCCACTAAACCATTATCTGCATTATACCATCAATTCTATTTTGGTAATTGTTGAGCTCAATTTTAAAATGGTCGTGAATTTTACGGTCGAAATTGAAATCGGAGGACGGATCCCACCGCTTGCCGTCCGTTGAGAATTCACTGCTCTTTTTAGCCACTAGGTTTGACCAATTCAAAATTAAACTCATTATTTTGTTTTCGAGTTTTATATTCAAAATAAACTACAATGTTTTAACGAAAATGTTTTTCAATAATTTATATTTTTTTGATTATTCACAAAATGAAAAAAAAAAATATATAAATTCATTATGAAAAAAACGTTGTTTTTGGCAAAAACGTTTTCAAATAAATGATTTTTGTAAACTTATTTTCAATAACGACTAGTTGCGAAGTCAATAACTCAGCAAAAGTTTTAGTTTTGATCACAGATTGTACCAAGGAATTTCAAAAACTATTTGATGGTGAATTATTGGAAAATATTCGATTATTTTAAATCAAATTGGAAGCTTTTCTTGACTTTCAGAATTCAATTATTACTTTTATTGAACCAATAATTGCATTGTACTAGCGTTTTTCTATTTAGATTTTCGTGAAGCTCAATTTTAAATTGGTCGTTAGTTTTACGGTCGAAATTGAAATCAGAGGAAGGGTCCCATCGTTTACCGTCCAATGAGAAGCCCCTCGCATAGTGAGCATAATTCCCTTTCGGTAAAGTTGCTGCAAAAAGCATAACTGAAAGTGTAACGATGACAAATTTCATTGTTTATTGTAAACTAAACTCAGATCTATTTAGAATTTGTCAGTTGGGAATTGAATCATAAAGTTATTTGGGTCAATAATTGTCTACAGCAGTGTACAGGACGAGAAAGGGGATTGGGAGAACCCGGCTAATCAATTCTGGTTGCCTAATTTTTCCAGTGGTTCCCACCTTTGGTTCAAATTTAACGACAAATTTTTTTACGACTGAAGAACCCTAAAAGTTTTCAAAAGGCGCCTTTGGTGACAATTTATACCAAATTTGTGACAGAAAAACAGTACTTTTTTCGACAGCCTTTTGTGGTCAATAAACAAGGTTTGACAGAAAATTTCAAAAACCACCTTCCCGTTTGCAAAAATTAAACCCAACCCTCCCCCTCCCCCCCTCCTCCAAACCCGCACACCACTGTTATCGCAGGTTTTTTTTTCAGTGTACCAATAATCAATCGCTGAATAATCTGTCTATCGTGGTAAGAAAATGAATTGCAATGCTGTCTGATTTCGTTCGAAAATTAAGTAAGATTGCTTTGAAGGCAAACAAGTTATATATTGATTTTTAGAAACCTTTTTTTACTGAATATCTTTGAAGAATAAATTTTTACTGGGAGGCAGCGAATAAAATCTTAGGGTGTTGATTTGTTTATCAACCAGATATGTTGACGCTTTGAGAAATTGAGTTGAAAAAGTAAACAAGTCTTAAAAGTCTAGCAGGAAAAAATAAAGTCCAACTGTCTACTTTGGAGGAAAAATTTGTTATGAATGAAAGTGATTTTCATTGATAATTTCAGGCAAACTTTAAACACTTTTTTTATCACCCTTTTCAGGAAAAACAACACCAATGATAAATGTAAATGACAATTATTTCCATTTTTTGGTCTTTAACAGAAGTTGTAGATGGAATTCTGATGTTTTTTATGGTTTGCACAGGAATGTTTGATAGTCGAATTGAAAAACTTGCTCCAAAAATAGCCTCTTTCCAATTTTCTACCTTCTTTTTAAAGCAGAAAATAAATACAGAACAGTTAACCTGCAAATTGCATGTAATAAATGTTTTATTGCAGCCAAGAAAGTCCAAAGTTAGTTGAAATAGGTTGTCGTAAAAAAATTCAAAAAGAAATGAAAAAAAAAATGAATTAGAACTGGAAAAGACTCAAAAAATGGGGTTTTTGCGATTTGAAAGAAATATTAAAAATTTTTCTTGCATGATCTATTGATAACTAATTTTTTTTTCCTGTGATTTGAAAGATAATAAAAGTTTTTTTTGCGAGATCTATTAAAAACAAACACTTTTTTCTCTTGGGCATTCATTGTAATTACCTTGGGCGAACCTTGCATTTATATTTGGCGAAAATTTCCTATATTCCCCTCTCATTAAGTTAGTCTCTCACTTATGAGTTAGGACCGATTTGGTTAACTCATAGAGTAATTTCGGATAGGGTACACCGTCTGCTCGTCACGCTATCTTATTTTCGGCCGGATAGATTCGTGCAACTTCTTAGTCTAATACCGATCCTAATCTTACTCTTATACTATCTAGTCTCAGGTTGTTTAACTAGTCTCTGCTAGGCTCAATAGATCTAGGGTATACTGGTTTATTGCGGTTGCTGAAGTGCTCGGGAGAGTCCAACTAATTTCTAAGTTAAATTCAAATCTCTCTGGTGCTGAAATTACAAGTAACTTCAGCACTTACAAATAAGTGGGTTGTTAGTTAGATGGATCATGATTGGTTAATATTAAATACTTTACATTGATAAAATATCTAAATTATCCAATCATAAAATGTAGTTTAGATCAGGTTCCACCCATCCGGGTTTTACAGAGTTTTTTAGAATAGTTCTTCTGCAATTCGAAGGATGGATGATGGAAGTTGGTGTTTGGCGAACATCTTATTTCTTCTGTTTCCTTTTTGTTAAAGAAGTTCCAGGAAGCTGGAGTTAGAGACATAAGACGTTGTGTCTTCTAGTGACAACGACTAAGTCTTCGCAACAAACTCAAATCTGATTTCAGAATGGTTGGCTATGTCAGGTTTTTCTGTTCTGCGTGGAGAACTTCTTTTGTGTCTGGTCTAGTTTGGGAATGGCGTGGAGATTGTGCGTGGAGGGGATGCCTGGTTACTCGGATATGTACGTATACTTGAACATCGAGGTGGTCATTGGTCTAGTTCAATGAAGTCCTTTTCTGCGAAGTCAAGTCGTACTCTAAATCCTTTGAGTTGTGATTGTGAGTGGCATATCGATTGTGGTTGATCATTCTCTCTCGAGTGTAGTGGGGTCGTTTTGTCTTTAGATGTTCGTCCTTGGTGTTGTATTCTGATCTATGTATTGCATAATGTAATTTACATTTTATAAAACATTTATTAGTTTAATATTTTTTAATTATGATTTTAGTTAGTTGTTTTCACAAAAGCTTTTTGTTTTAGTTCGGTTATTTTGAAGAGTTACTCACACTTGAGTAGCTCTTATTAAAAATAGTGGTGTGGTCACAAAGCGTGGATGTAGCGCGGTGGGTTAGGCCGGCTATAGAGCATGCTCAGGACGTCCTTCCTGGTGGGTTAGGCCAGGAGTGGGAGTATGATTTCATGCGGTTTTTGTGAGGGGTCCTGTTATGTGACAACGTTTTATGTTGGGTTTGTTGTGGTTTTTCTTATGTTTTGTTGGTTGTGTCCTTTTTTCAAAAATCAAATTGTTTGTGGTATGGGTTTGTCTTTTGACTTTTTTGTGTTTTATTATTTCTTTCTTAGACTTTATAATAGTCTTCAAAAGAATAAATTATCCAGTTTTAAACTGGGTTAATCCGGTTTGGGTACCGTTGGTTTCCTTTTCTTAGTCATGCTGTTATTCTATGATTTGTGGTATTTAGTAAGCTGCGTTGGTTAGTTTTGTTTAGTATATGATTCCTTTCCAACCGGGTTAAAGGAAAGTTTGAAACATGTTATTATATGTTAATGTTGTTGAGTGTGAAAACTTGAAACTGAAATTCATTATTTTAAACAATTCTTCGTGGGCGAGCTGTGCGAGTGTGGATAGAATTTCTGTGCGAATGAATGAAAATATCAAAAGGTTAGTACTGCAATTGCATTTTATTAATTTACTGCATAGAATTTGGAAATTTACTGCTAGTTATGGGGGAATTTTAAGTTACAAATTTTCATCATAATTAAATTTACTGCTTGTGGGGAAAATTTTAGAAATGAATTTACTGCATTGGTATTAAATTTATAAATTTATAAGTGTAAGAGATTAATAGAATTGTTGAAGTCTGTTTGATGAAATTTGCGATCTTTATTTGTTTTTTGTGGTTTTTGTAGGTGATCGTCGGATGAAGGCTAAAAATCTAAGGAAAACATGGATAAAGTATGGTGAGTTTTTTAATATTTCAATTAGTTAGTTATATTCATTTAATTCATACTTACCTGTTAATCGTCGGGGAAAAAACCGTGGGGGAAGATGTCGTGAATTAGTTCTGAAGTTGTTAGTAGTTTAGCTAAGATGCGGATGATATTTTTAGTCTGAAGCAGTGGCCAAAGCAATTGAAGTGCCTTAATAGTGGTTAGTTCTTCAGTGGCAACTGCAAACTCATAAGGTGTGTTTTGGATTAGATTATATAATTTGTGATTGAATTTAGTGTTGTGGATGAATTCTAAAATTGGGATTTCTATGGGTTGTACAAACTCGTGCGGGAGAAGGAAGGGTCGGGATTCTTCGGCGTTGAAGGTCTTGGTGATGGGACAGAAGATGTACATTTGGGTTATGGGGTCATAATTACGAAGAATACCATGAAGGTTAGTATCTTTAATACAGTATGTGAAATTTAGGAAAAATGGTGAAGTGTATTTGGAATTAATGAATTGAAAACGATGGTGTGGTTGTCTAGAGGGTGTGTGTAGGTCAAAGTGATTTTGGATGAAGCGATAATAACTATATGTGTGGGTTTGTTTAGTGCGCAACATAATATCGTGTGAGCAGTGTAAATCTCTTTCGTGTGGTGCAAGGAAATGAAAGGTTAGTGAAAATATTTGGAAGCGTTCTTTAAAACTTTCGTATGCTTGTGTGTCTGTTAGTGCTTCTGAAATAATGTGATCAAACTTTCGGTCGAAGATGTTTAGTGTAAATATATATGGTGTCTTGATGAAAAATTTCTCGGTAATTTGTGGATTAGCGAAGCGATCGTCGTCTAAGAATTGATCTTGGTTAGCTCTGATGATGTTGTGATCATAGTATTCGAGTGTATATTCGTTAGCTCTAGGTGCAGTGTGTGTTTTTAGTGATTTTTTATATCCAACGTAAGTAAATTGTCTAGCGGTTAGTGGTGTAGTGAGTCGATATAGCATGTCCGTATTTCGCTCTATATCGATGTGAGTGTTAGATAATGGTAAGCAAAGAGGGTTAGTAAAATGATAATATGAGGTCCAAGAGAGAGTGGGCATTAAAACGTATTCATCTACGAAGTTGCGTGTTTCGTTAGTGTCGTGGGGGGTGTTTAAGGTGTATTGTGGGAATGAGGGTAAGGTGATGGCTAAAAATTCTTTTGTGTTAGTATGCTTGGGGTGGTTGATGTATTCACGGGCTGTTCCTGGTTTTGCTGGGAAAGGATGGTTGGGGAACTTTCTTTTAAAAGTGCGGTAAGCTCTATTAGTGTTGAGTGAAGATTCAGTGGATGTGGATGATGGTGCTAATGATTCAGTATAATTTGAAGAGGGTGTAGGGGTAGGGGGGTTGGATGAATTTATTGTGGAGGAGATTTGGTTTATGGTTGGGGTATTAAGGTGGTAGGGTTGTTGTTGAAGGGTAATAAAATTATCTAGCTCTGGGGAGATTCGGGGGGTGTCTGGAGAATGAGATGATTGGTCAGAATGGTATGAGGAGTAGGTTGGGGTAACTTGGGAAGCATAAGAGGGTGTGGGGGTGATTGGGTCAGGGTTATTGGATAATATGGGTTGAAAAGGGGGTTGAGAAAAATTAGAAGAGTTATGAAAATTATTGGATGGGGATGGTTCTGAGTCGGCAAATTCATCGGGGGTTTCAATATTCGGGTTATTGAGTTGTGAGATGGAATATAAAACTGAGATGTGTGAATTAGTATCGGAATTCATGCCTGATGTTACATTACTAGATGGAAAATCGGGTGGCGGAAAAGCAAAAAGTGGTATTATTGGGATTGGGGAGGTAAGATTGGTTGGGTGGGAATTTGATCGGTGTAGTGATCCAAGTTGGCGGCTCATCGTGGGCTAAAAAAATGATTATTTTGAGACTGAAAAGCGGTGGTATGGGGTTGTTCAATAATTTGTTCATAAGTATTATCATCTTGTGACTGGTGTGTCATTATATGTTGAATGGGACTTTGTGATGTGGTGAGTCGAAAATTTGGATTATGTGTGATGGCTAAGTTTCGAAAATTTCGTGGGACTAGGGATAGTGGATGGTTATTTGGTAGGGGTGGTAATTGTGGTGCCGTTGGCGTTATGTCTACATTGTTATGTTCTTCGTCGTATGTATTTTGTCGTGTTGTTATTTTTGTGTTATATTCTTTTATTTGTGCGTCTAAAAGAATTTTGTTTATAGATGTAGAAAAGATTCCAAAAAATCCTGCAAAGAGTATGCGTGCTACACTTGCTTGTCGATTGACCTGTGTGTGTATAGCACATGTGTTGTAGATTCCTTTTAAAAGTGAGAAAAGAAATCCAATAAAGTTAAACATTGCGTATAAAATAGTCAATTTTTCTAAGATGTAGTAGGGCCATCCTAGAAAATCGAGGATCTCATTTTTGAGTGTAACAAAGCTAAAAATGTTAATTGGTGATATATCTTGGGGACGGTATTTTTCACCGTTTAGATATAT